TTCTAGCGTCGTGGACACAGGCCTTTAAATATTAACGGCACAAGCCAACGGCACAGGATACTATTATTCCTATTGGATTGCTTACGAGAGCCAATCAGGGTTCAGCTTTGAGCATAGACATATAAAAGATAGACTGCTTATGAGGTAGTGGGGGATGTCCTCCTGAGGGAAAAGGACAACACCAATTTATTTGGGTATCTATCTTCTTCTAGTGTACGTGATCACTACGTACGTGGACATGATCACGTGATCGCCTTCAGATCATGTCCACTAGAGGAAGACAGATACCCAAATAAATTCATGTTGTCCTTTTCCCTCAGGAGGATGCCCCCACCTAGGGCTCCACTGCCTCATAAGAAGTCTATCTTTTGTTATGGCTTTGAGTCACCTGATCGAAAACTCTGCATCCTGATTGGCTCTCGTAAGCAATCCAGTAGGAAAAATAGTATCGTGTACCATCGTGTACCGCTCAAGGGTACCGCTGGTTCACATCCGTTACGTCGCGAGCGTAGGAACTGTAGAAACTTTGTACCATTTCCGAGGCGAAGATGTAAAATAACGTGCCGAGCCGATCGTAAGAAAATATCTCTAAGTTTTCTTCCTTCATTGTTCGTTTTCTCTATAGATATTCTTTCGTACCGAGTAAAGTTCACTTAAACAACAACGGGGAGGGGACAGTTCGCAATTACAATACGAGATTAAACATTTGAAAGATCTAATTATTACCCACTGTTCATTCGTATTTTCTGCTAATTAAGCGAAAGAAAGTCGGACGCAATCAGACGATACTCAATTGACGGTCGCATTTAGGGGCACTAATTTCAACGTCTGCTAATTCCGTTACGATAAGTTATTTAATGTATCTATGGTAGATTCTAACCGACCATTAGCTTCAAATTTCTATTCTTCTGGCTGTTCTGAAGAGTCCACGTTGAAAGTAGCGGCCCATACTTGTTTTACAAGTATCGAGGATGATCGAGGGCTCTCTACTCTCGAAGAGAGCCATTCACTGTCGCGCAACTTCAGGCGGTGGCGGCGGTGCCCGATACGAGGCACCTCTGCAAATAACCTCGCGGTATCGCAGCTGATGTAGTGTTAATCGAATCATCCAGATGACTTAACTAATTCCGTCGGCGATCCCTCGGCACGTCCGTACGCATCCTCGAGTCGCCGCGGATATTGCGCTCCCGCGGGTCCGTTATTTTTAAAACCGCCCATCTTTTTTTTCTTCTCTGTACAGGACGACGGGGTGTCGGTACCTGCGCCCGCACGGCAACGAGACCCGGGGAGGATAATCCGTTGTCCAGCTGCTGGGGATCGCGCGCGCTCGTCCACGACGCGACGTGTCCGCGGGCGCCCGATAAAACGGGGGAGACGCGGATGTTCCACGACCAGGTATGATAGGACCCCAACTTAACCTAGAAGACCTAACTTGAGGTGAAACTAGGTTCCCCCGAGCCTCGGCGTGCACGTTGCGGTGCGTCGCGCGAATACAATCTCGCTGATACATGTCGACCTGCACTTGAGTAGCGAGCGAAATGGAGAGCCACGCCGGTGAGCAGTACGTGACGTTCCCTCTCAACGAGGTGCACGACGCTATAGAGGAGAACATGATATCGCACGAGGAGATATGCGAGCCCGTGGACGAGTGCGTGCTGCAGGAGGGCCTTACGGAGGTGACGGTCGGTAACACCGCGAGCGTCGACATGGTGGAGTCGCAGGGCACCGTCGAGATCCTCGCCGAGTCGGAGGAGGACGAGGACAATCAGGTGGTGTACCCGATGTACATCAAGCAGGAGGAGCAGCAGCAGTACACGTCGGGCGACGACGAGTCCATGGCTGTGGAGGCCCTGCGTCAGCTCGGCGGCATGTACCCCTGCTTCGAGGACAAGAAGATGAGCTGCCCGGTCTGCAAGCGTCTCTTCACCCAGGAGGAGATGGCCGAGCATCAGTCGACGTGCCAGGCGTCCGCCAAGCTGTCCTGCACCACCTGCGGCGAGCGATTCGAGAGGAAGATCGATTTGAATAACCACATGGTTTGCCACCAAGTGGACCGTCCTCACGCGTGCAGAACGTGCGGCAACCTGTTCCGCTCCAAGAGCAGCTTGCAGGCGCACATGCTGCAGGCGCACATGCACCACGTCGAACGGCCGCACAAGTGCACCATCTGCGGCTCGGACTTCCAGAGGCCGTCCAGCCTGTCCAATCACATGAAGATACACACGTACGTCGCGGGACGAGCCCTCATGCAGTCGCAAGGTAACAATGTGTCTCAGGCGGCGGAGACGTTCAGGAAGTGGCCGGAAAACGCGTCCGACGCGCAGAACGCTTCTCAGATACCATCTTCCTCGTCTGTTCAGACTATACAGAACTACGACGTGTGTCAGGTCCCGTGGCCGGTCTCGTCGTACAACTTCCAGGGCGAGCAATCGATAGTTACCACAATGTCCAATCACCAGGACTCCAAGATGGACACGCTGCAAGAGTTTGCGGTGATGCCCAATGGCGAGGTGACGCAATTCAGCGAGTACACCGAGCAGAATAGTATCGGCGACTCGGTCAACAGCGGCCAACAGTACGACATAACGATAAACTCGTTCAACACGCCCGACGGGGTGGTCAAGGTCGAGACGCTCTACAGATACAATAATGCGAACAAGAGGGACTACGACGAGGCGGAGGCCAACAGCGGTAAGCAGCACACGTGCAAGCATTGCGGGGTCAGTTTCTCGCGCGCCACCGCGCTGGCGTCCCACGAGAAGATTCACGCCTCCAAGAACTGGAACATGCCGATCGAGTGCGAGTACTGCGACAAGCAGTTTCAGGACGGCAATCACCTGGCGACCCACCAGACCACCTGCGCCAAGAAGATAATGCAGAACAACATCGAGCAGGGCGTGCCCAACAACAAGTGGGGCAAGCACGCCTGCTCGGAGTGCGGCAAGAAGTTCACGACCAAGCAGAAGATGTTCCGCCACCAGTGGATCCATCGCAAGAAGACGCACTCGTGCGAGGTCTGCGGCTCGCAGTTCGAGAAGCAGAACGAGCTGGACGAGCACAGACTGTCGGCGCATCCCGGTGACTCGCCCTTCACCTGCTCGGAGTGCGGCAAGAGCTTCGTCTCGCGGCAGGGCCTTTGGGAGCACGGTAGAACGCACGCCGGCAGTCCGGCCCACTTCCAGTGCGACACCTGCTCGAAAACGTTTTCGTCGCGCCAGGGATTCCTGATACACAATCGCACGCACACCGGCGAGCGACCGTACGGCTGCAAGTTTTGCTGGAAGGCCTTTCGAGACGGCGGGACTTTGAGGAAGCACGAGCGAATTCACACGGGGGAGCGGCCGCACGTGTGCCCGCTGTGCTCGCGGGCCTTCAATCAGAAAGTCGTTTTGCGCGAGCACGTTCGGTGGGTTCACGCGGCGGGTAAGAACGAGACGGAGGCGAGCAACCCCCCGTATCAGTGCCCGCTCTGCGGCGCTCTCAACCAGGATCGCGACGAGCTCTGCGCGCACATCGTCAAGCATTCGGACCAGATGATAGCCGAGGCGAAGGCGAAGACCAGCAGCGACGCCTCCCCGAAGTCGAAGCCGACGAAGAAGAAGTCGTCCAAGTTGAACGCGCAGGCGAAGCAGAACGCCCTGGACTTCATCCCGAAGTCGGAGCAAACCGAAGCCTTGCTGTCCATCACGGACACAGCCGATAAATCAGACGAGATCGAGATTCTGAGCGAGAAGCAGAGCAACACGTTTGTTGTAGTCACCACGGAGAAACGTGGCGATTTCATCGAGATACCCGGGCTCAAGCACAGCAACATACGGTTCATCGTGGACGGCAAGGAAGACGAGGACATTCAGGTGCTTCAGGTGGAGCCAGATCAGAGGGATTCTCTCGACATAATTGACATCGACAAGCAGAGCGACGCGGCGAACATCGTGTCCGCGGAGTCCGTGGACGGTGCCTTCGACGAGACGGTCAGGCAAAGCGACATGTCCGCGATGCACTTGATCCAGTCGCCTAAGCAGAACAACACTCTCACTATCATCTCGAAGCAGAACGAGTCGCTGCCCGTCCTGACGATACCAAATCCGCAGGGTCACGACAATTATTCCAGTCAGATCGTGCAGATAAGTGGTGCGGAGATACCGATGAACGTTGTAGCGAGCCCTCGACAAGCGCGGAAGGCGAAGAATCATATCCAGGACGTGCAAGACTCTATAATGCCGGATGCGACGTCGCACGTTATTGTACAGTATCATCAGCAGGACAGCGACGAAGGGGACGACTTTACCTGCGGCATCTGCGAGGAAAAGTTCGACGGCAAAACCATGTTGAAGGAGCACATCAAGATACACATATAATTATCACTTTCGCGTTTCAACTTTGCTGTCTCGCGTATTTCTCGTGGTACTTCACGCGCCGTTAACGCGACTGTAGAAAGTAACGAGTGCATGCACGATGGCGAGATCCTTTACCAGTGATTTCAATCGCACAGGATTTATTTGTGATTCGATTACAAGTAACATTTTTGTTTCTAGAAAAGTATATAAACAAGACAAGATGTCTATAAGTAATATAAAGTTGATGTACATATATTGCACAGTTAATGTACATAAACCTAACTTAGGATACACATTTCAATTATGCAACGTATTTATTAAATCCGGAAATACTATGTCCGAGTGCGTGCCTGTTTATACGTTAAGTTTTGCAGAAATTAATTTTTATTTAAATACGTTGCTTTTAGCGTCAGAATTAAAAATACGTTTTATTTCATCTTTTACGACATAAAATTTTTTCACTTATCAAATTGAGAAGTTGCTTTTTACTGTAGAAGTGTGTATGTATGTACGAAAGAAAGGAAAACATTCTGTTTTGTGCAATATGTCATTATCATTAATTTCGTGAGGATTAATTCCAATTTTTATTTGTGCTGAACGAGAAAGCTCGCGCGTTGCTCGCGATATTGGGTTTTGCATGAATCTTTTTTTTATTTTTTTTTATTTAAATGTTTTATTTTAGATTTCAGAATGAGAGAAGAACGTTTTATTTAATCTTTTACAGCATAAACTGCCTCAACTTATGAAATAGAAAAATTACTTTTTATTATATACAACTGTGTATGTGTGTACGATAAACCCAGTATCTATTTTGTGCAATATGACGGCTTACCACAATTTCGTAAAGATTAATCCGAACTTTGATTTCTGTTGAACAAGAAATTTTGAATGCTAAGATAGCCATAGGTGATTGTAAGAAATATTTATTTAGTTCTTTCCGTTTTGCTATCCTGCTGAACTGTATCTATTAAGTTAATAAAGAAATTCTAATTATATTAATATCTTCCCCTCCAATTAAAGTGCCAAAAGTGCAGAATCGCTCCGGCCTCCCCTTAAGTATGTAAATCGCATTATTTCTCGACGCACGTTGGTCAATCGATCGATTTTTCACGTATGTAACCATTGAAATCACTTTCAATAATTTCCAGCGTGAAACTAGCGCGGCGCGGGGGGAATTAAGTATCCAGAGAAAACGCGGAACTGGCGGGAGCACGTAGAGCCACCATCTTGAAAAGCGCGCCTTGGGGAAAACCGAGACTGCGCGCGCAGTCACGTGATCGCGCCGGCAGCGAGCACCAGTGCGTGAGCGCGCGGAAGTTTTTCCTCGAACGGTGCGGCCGTTGATTTCGGGTTCCTGGCAATTCTCGCCGAGCATTTGTCGTCACGAGTCGCCGCGGGAACGCCTGGGGTAAGCGAGAGACACGCCGCGTCGCTGAGTCCGATTCGCGTCGCCGCCGGGATCCGTCGCCGAGTGAGGTGAGTCGAGCGGAAATGAGCGCCACTGCGCGAAAACTCACGTTTTCCACGCGTCCAGGCGGCCGTGCCGCTTCGTGCTGTTAGCGAGTTGTTGCAACCGTCGTAATCGTCCCGTGATAACACAGGCCGCGCGGCTCGTCGGAGAGCGAGCGACTTGTGATTGTCAAAGAAATTAGCGCGTCGCGACGTGCACTAACCTCCATTCGCTCTGTGCCGCCGGTGTCGCGCGCTGGCTCGAGGCTCGCCGACAGGTGTGCGTTAGCGCGAAAATATTTCTTCAATCTCGCCGATTATAACGCGAGGCTCGTCATCAGCTACCCGGAAACGCCGGCCCGCGGTCGTCGGGCGTTTCGCGCGAGTCTCCCGCCGCAAAATCCATCCCGGAGGGAATCTAACCTATAAGCCGGCCGCATCGATACTCCACAGACGGTGAGGAACGTTTCCCTGTGACGCGCGTTCCACTGCCACGTTCGGCCAAGAGCTGCCGGAGTATTTCTGCGATAGGCATTCGCGGTAAATTAATTGAGGACACACACAGGGGCTGCGAACATGCCTACTTGGAATCAGATTCAGGCGCAGCTGCGAAACCCGAACAATCCGGTGGTGTTCTTCGACGTGTCCGTGGGCACCACGGAGATAGGCCGCATGATCTTCGAGCTGTTCGAGGACGTCTGCCCGAAAACGTCGGAGAACTTCCGGCAGTTCTGCACCGGCGAGTACAGGAGGGACGGCGTGCCCCTCGGCTTCAAGGGTGCCATCTTTCACAGGGTGATCAAGGACTTTATGATACAAGGCGGCGACTTCGTCAACGGCGACGGCACCGGGGTGCTGAGCATCTACAGCGGCGGCACCTTCCCGGACGAGAACTTCGCGCTCAAGCACGACTCGCCCGGCCTGCTGTCCATGGCCAACAGCGGCAAGGACACCAACGGCTGCCAGTTCTTCATCACGTGCGCCAAGTGCAACTTCCTGGACGGCAAGCACGTTGTCTTCGGCAGAGTTATCGACGGCCTCCTCGTCATGAGGAAAGTGGAGAACGTGCCCACCGGGCCGAACAACAAACCAAAGATACCCGTGACGATATCCCAGTGCGGGCAGATGTAGCGACAAGCATTTCTCTAGGTCCGCGTATGAACTGTTGGGAGACAATTGCATCTGCGCATATCTATTTTTTTTTTTCAACAAAATACCGTCAGAATACAGTTTTCGTAGTATACTAACAGATTGCTGTTACTTGGGATTAGAAATAAAGTTTTACACTTTGAGCGATGCTCCATACAGTATTTTGTACTTAGCTTAGTGTACGATTCCAAGTTTTACAGTAACATTGCATGTATACTTAATAAATCGTGCAGACATTTGACGATATACATGTAAAATTATCGTTAATTGTTCTCACTTGTCGATATATGTTTAATATCTCCCTGATATATACAAGATTTGCAGGTGTAAATTATGTTTGAAACAGCCTCCCAGAAGCGAAATGTTCTCAGAAAGAGAAAATAATGCATCGCATAATCAGATACGCGTTTAACAGATAAATTTCTAAGTATAACAAAACAAAGTTAATTTTATACTACCCGGTAAAACGCCGAGCGTCAATTATATTGCATTTACAATTTTGTTAAAATTTCTCACTCGACGATGTAAAATGTAATGTAAATGCAATGTAACTGCTGCTCGGTGTTCGCTGGGTTATTTTATACACATGTGTTATATTACACTTGCATCGTTGAGTGAGAAATTGTAACATAACTGCAATGTACCTGATGGTTATTTTATAATTTGTGCTAAAATTCAGAATAGAATTTTATCACTTGCACACATGTGCTATTCACAATGGCGAATAAAGTTAGAAGATAGACTTCTCTCCGAAGCAAATTATTAATCGTTTAAAGCGGGCTGAATCTCCACCAACTTGACGCAATTAATTTAGTTACTAAAGAGGGAATTTTATTAAAAGGAATATTCCAAAGTGTTGTAAAGGCACCCAAAAAGAAAATATGTAGAAAGGAGACAGTGCCAGTGCGAGCCACAAAATGAACGGAATTCTCACAACATAGAATCAAAATTTCTCTTCTCAAATCAAAATAGCGCAAACGTTTCGACCCTTCTTCGGGTCTTCCGCAGTAAAAAAAAACTCGTTTCGACCGAATAAAGCATAAGGCAGCAATATCTTAGGGGATATCAGTGCACTGTGTGACTTCAGAGTCATTCTTCTATCTGTGTTAATATCAGCGAGTCTCCAAACAACTCGACAGAGGGGCGAATCCGTAACAATGCTTTATTAAAAGGGGTCTATAATTAAAATTAAAGGGAGCCGAGGTTGACAGAAAGTTCAGTTGTCTTACGAACTTTAATTTTATTATAACATCTGTACATATGAAATAAATACTTCATAATCATTCTATCACGTTCGTGAAGTTCTAATGTAATCGGGTAATTCTCCTGTATTACCTTTGTACGTATTGAAATTGATTTTTATAAATCGGAGCGAGTTATTAAAGACAAACGTACACGTACACAGATATATTCGTATTAGCATCGACCCATAAATTTAATCAATCCGAATCGTGAGATCTTTAAGTTTGCAAGCGCGTTCCGTCCTTCCTAAGTATTATTTCACGATTTTCTCTCATCTCCATTAGGATTATCGTCTATAACTAAATTAAAAATCTATTCTTATTGGTCGATGCGACGTCCATCATGCAATTGTCCACTCAATTATACGAATTAATGACGTCCACTATATCCACGTGTATCTGAAGTTCTAATACAATTTTACTCCACTATACAGCGTCTCCAAGATGTGGTATAGACTTTGTTTCAGTTGTAAATCGTTTTGCAATTTTGGGTGTCTCTTATGGATCGTCGGATATCACATTATCATAACGTATCGAGTTTTAATCAGTAACGACACTACGTTAAGCAACACGTCTTCATCAACTGATCGATTCTCTTCTAATCGAGATTTTGTATCGCGCATCTACGTATCTTCTAAATGTAGCGTAACTGATGTGTCCACATTGACGCGTCTCTCTCTCTCTCTTCGCAGTTTCGGTTATAGTATTAGCGAAAAAGAAAAATAGAATTCTGACATATCTGGTGTACACTGGGACCAGTATAGTCGTCTGCTATTAATTCACTTGTAAATCTATTGAGATCGATACACTTTAATTATTCACTAGCATTTTATATAAAACTATTAGAGTCCGTGCGTACATCGGCAGTCATTATCACGTATTACATATGTACATCGATTCATCTCTATCGCTTATACAGACATATATATACATACATATATATATGTATATACCAAAATAGATCAAACGACTACGTTAACTATACGCGCAGCCGCCTCTAAAACCCACTTTAGACCGTCCGTAATTCGGGACAGAATTTCCATGTGCGGCAAAATTCTACCTCTATAATTTTAATAAAAATCTCGAATCCCTATAAAAACTCGATCGTAATAAAAAAAGCCTATGCTAGTCGGATGCTTTCTCTTTCGCATTATACGCGTGCGTTCGTAATTAAATTGTTTAAGCCGAAACTCTGTCGCGAATTACGAGCTGTCTAAAATGTGCTTGAGAATCTCACGCTCTGTCGCAAAACTTGGCTCGATACCTCCGTGTGCCATTCGACGCAATTTCGTCGCCACGAAGAATCGCTCGTGCTCGAGACAATGTACGACCGATCCGTCGTCTATAAACGAGCGACTGTCTCGAGGTGGGCGTCCAGCGGACTTGATCGGAGACGAAAAATTCGGCTAAACACTTACGTGGCGATGTAAATCGGTGGTAGCCGGTCCTTTATCAACAAACGCGACTTCGGGAGTCAGTAAATTGACGACGGTGGGCCGTCCGAGTCCCGCATCACACGGCCGTGTAGCGAGGACCCTTTTTATTATCATCTACGTCGTCCCGAGTCGGCGCCGGGGACCGTCATCGACATCGTCACGATCTGAAATCAATATTTCCTCGATAATTATTATCATATTATTGTGGCAGCGGGAGAAACTGACCCAGTCACATTTAAAAGGACGAAAACAGGATTTATGAAAGATACAATGGAGAAGACAAAACAAAGAATGGAAGTGAAGCATCTCGGATGCGCTAATGAAAATCTCGGTGAAAGTATGAGCTTCGGCCCAGGGGCTCGGAGAGATCTACCTGCTGTTGCAGAAACGGTCATCGTCGATGGCGTCGACCTGCGAGTTATCGTCGACGACCATGATGGGCGTCGCGCCGTCGTGCAGGCTAGATTTGGAGATGGATCTCTTGTAGGCGTCTCTGGTAACGCTCCTGGTGAAGCTGAACTTGCGGACGAGTTTCTTGTCGAGGGCGGCCGGGCTCTTCGGGCCCTTCGCCCTGTACTCGTCCTCCGTGCCCTCGTAGTGCGCCAGCATCACCTCCGTCGCGTGCTCCTCGATGACGCTGAGGGCGTAATCGATGTCCTCCTCGGTCGCGTCCTCCTTCGTCACGCAGAAACGCAGGACGTACTTGCCCATCACCCGTGCCGGTATCATGTGCAGCCGACCGGACGCGTTAATGTTAGCCAGCAACTCCTGATTCATCTCCTCGCTCTCCTTCAGTCGGAAGCACACCAGGCCGACCCGCACGTCGTTGAGGATCTCGAAACGCCTGTCCTTCTTCATGTGCGTCTCGAACCTCTTGGCCAGCCTTATGTGATTCCTAATGTACTTTTGCAAGCCGCTGATGCCGTACGATCTCATGACGAACCAGAGCTTGAGCGCTCGAAATCGTCTGCTGAGCGGGATACCCCAGTGGCGATAGTCGATCGACTCGCCCGAGCGAGCGTGTTGAAGGTAAAGCGGATCGACGACCAACGCCGACGTGAGCTTGACTCGATTGCGCACCCACAGGCAGGAGCAGTCGAAGTTGACCAGCAACCACTTGTTGGGATTCGTGTTGAAGGAATCGGCGTGCTCGATGCCGGCCATGAACGGCCTCATCTCCGGGCATATGAAGGCGTTACCGGCGTAAGCGCCGTCCACGTGTAGCCAGACGTTGGGATACAGCTTGCACACGGGCCCGATCTCGACGAGATTGTCGAAGGCGCAGGAGCCGGTGGTGCCGAGCGTAGCGGACACGTAGAACGGCACCAGGCCGCTCGCCACGTCCTCCCTGATGACAGATTCCAGCCGTTTGCCGCGCAACGCGGCCTTCTCGTCCGGCTCGAGCACCCGGAGCTTCACCAGGCTTATCATCGCCGCCTTCTCCACGCACGAGTGCGATTCCGTGGAGCAGTAGGCCACCAGTCTCGGCAGGAACGCCGAGTCCTCCTTATTGGGTTCCTGCTCCTTCAGCTTCTTGATCGCCTGGGTCCGCGCCGCCAGCATCGTCACCAGAATACACTCGGAGGCCGAGCCCTGGATCACGCCGCCGCCGTTCTTCTGCTCCGACAGGAATTCAGTCGGCAGGTCGATCGCCTTGGCGTACCAGTCGAGCACGATCGTCTCGAGCTCGGTGCAAGCCGGGCTGGCCGCCCACGAGAAGCCGATGCAGCCGATCGCGTCCGACAGCAGGTCACCCAGGATCGAGGGGAACGAGTTGCCGGACGGGAAGTAGGCGTGGAATCGCGGATGCTGCCAGTGGGTGATCTGTAAAAAGCATTGTCCCCGCGTACAGCCGCAAGTCGGGTAACCTACTTTTATGTTCTGAAATTGATTTATCCGCGGGGAGAGTGGAATGGAACGGGACAACGGAATGGACAGCGGAAATGCCGGCGTTGACAACGCCGAGACTTTCATTGTCACCGCGATAACATTGCATTGGATTAAGAACGAACTTGGCGCGCGTTTGTGGAAAAGTCCCGCGTCGCGGACGCGTCATTCTCAGGTGCCGTTATCTCCGTCGGAAACGGAGATCGGTATGCCGTGACGTGGTCACCGTCCTTCAGTTGTTCAACCGACCGATCGCTCCAATCTAATTATTTTTAAACATTCTCTATCACATTGGGCGATCCTCAATTCACGAGATCGCCTTCATTCCCGCCCTTTCTCGAACACGAGACGGCGTCTTTAGTTAACGAAATCTCCGCGTCCTTGCACTAGACATCACTACAGTCGCTGTAGTGATGTCTGGCACAGGGTATCCTGCGAGCGGAGTGTCGTTAATTTACCGAGACACCTTTATTATTCGTTGAAAATATTGTTCCCTCGCGGGATTTACATAACACGCGTTGCGTCACAAACATTTTACGTCACGGGCCGACCTTAACTTCTCCTCGAGTTCCCGCGAGGAGAGCGCGCCCGGAGGAGCGCCGCAGCGTCGCAAAAGGCATCCATCCGGCCGCTCCGTCCGCCGAACGTCACGTTATCAGTTTTGCGCGCCGCCAAGACGGGGAGGAAGGAGAGGTTTTTATCTATTCCTCTTTTTTTTCTCTCTCTGTCTTTCACGTGCACGAGCATTATTTATATCGGAAAAAGGGGGGTTGAAATCAATGGCAGGAGAAGAGACAGCGAGAGGGAGAGGGGGGATCGATAATCGCGGCAACCCGTTACGACCGCAAACTCACTCCGGGCATTATTTTGCCGTCGACGTCCATCATGATGGCGTCCCATGATTCCGGCTTGACGGGCGCCTCCTTCGGCAGCAGGGGTCTCAGGTAGCCGGGATCGACGTTCGCCGTCACCCTCTTGCCCTCCAGCGTGCGGATGTAGTCGCATATGTACTCGATCATCTCCTTGCCGCGCGAGCGAAATTCATCGATGTTCATGATGATGCCAGAGTACCCCGGGCTGGAATGCAGCGATTTTCGCGAGGAAGCGTCAGAGCGTGGCAAGCACACCGTGCCCGATTAGGCACGAACGCGACGTAACGCGTCGCACACGCGTTCGTGACTTTCCTTTTTTTTTTTTTCGTCTCTCTCTCTTTGCCTTTTTAAAAACGTTCCCTATCGGCGCGCCGACGCGCCTCTCTCTTATCCTCCTATATTTGCTTTAGAAAAGGATCAATTCCTCCGCGCTTCTGCGAGAGGATTCCTCGCGGCGCGTTAATTCCTTCGAGCAAAAGGAAACGTGATATCGATGGACGCGGCTAATAATAATCCGCAAAAGTATTATGAAAGTGCACGCCGTGGGACGCTCGTGTGTCGAATTAATTACACACGAGGTGCCACGTGATAAATATTGCGGGGGACGCGGGAGTTTGGGCGCGCAGGAGTCGCGCACGGGTACGGCTAAATTTTCGCGTCTCACGGCACTCGGCGAGAGTTTTCGGTTTCCCACGGCGCACGAGCGACGATACCTCTGGAGAACGCAAAATCTGTAATCGTAGTTTCTTTATTCCCTTCCGTCGACAGATAATTTCTTTTTTTTTTAATAGAGAAACACGGATTTCGAGACGCAATTTTTTTGGAGAGTCCGAGCGGCGAACGAGGCTATCGGTGAACTTGGACAAGGCTCGCCGGTGCGTTCACATTTCTTTTCTGCAACCCGAAAGAATCGCTACGCCTCAACGAAACGCCGACGTCAGGTCGTCCCACGCGAGCCGCGGAGTCTTTCCTAAGTTGCGATTTCGAAAGGGGCGCGGAGCGCGAAGGAGCGCGGACGAGAGTGGCGAACGGCCGACGATGGGGAGGTTTCGACTTGGTTGCGACCCGTCGGTTCCACTCACGTTTCGTTTCCGCTACCGCTCGAAAAGCCGCTCCACTTTGGCGGAAAGCCGGCCCCCTCGGTCGCGCGTGCTGCTCCTCCCGTATTCTCGTAACTCGAGCGCCGCGCGATTTTCCCTCGCACGTATCGAACATTTGCCGCGACCCACGTCAGACGAGAGACTAGTAGCACCTGCCGAAGCGCCGGTCAGTTTTATGCGCGCCACGGCTCCGTACGCCCCTGCTGTCACGCAGATAAAATTAAGGTGGAGAGAGAGACGGACGACCCGGGGAGAAAGAAATTCCGCAAACGAGGCTGTCCCGTGACATCCCATTCTAGATCATCGCGCTGATTTCTTCGATAATCCGATCTAGGCAGCCGGACTGTCGCCCGGTCTATTAATATGAAACTTCCAGCACAAATATCTTAAAATTGATAGCAAACAAATTTAAGGGGATGCTGGAGTGATTCTGAACCGACAACTTGTTCGAATGAACAGATGTTTTCTTAGACTTCTAAACTTAATTTCAACGATACCACGCTGCTCTCTGATTTAATTCGATTAGTGGAAACTGGGTCTGTACATAAAAGCCACATAATTTGTATATTGCACAAATGTTTTCATCAATTGACAGTTCTAGGAACAAAAGGTGCAAAAAGTGCAGAATCACTCCAGCATCCCCTTAACACCTGAAAATCAATCCAGCTTTTCTGTAAAGTCGCGGTCTGAAAGGCTGTCCGTCGTTTTATGATAAATTTCGGAAATACAGTCCGTCTCATGCGAGAGATTTTAGCTTCTAATATGAAACTTCCAGCACAAATATCTTAAAATTGATGGTAAACAAATTTAAGGGGAAGCTGGAGTGACTCTGAACCTATATTTTATTCGAAGGAATATATTTTTTGTTAGACTTCTAAATTTGATTTCAACGATACCACGCTGTTCTCTGATTCAATTCGATTAGTGGAAACTAGGTCTGTACATAAAAGCCACGTAATTTGTATATTACACAAATGTTTTCATCAATTGACACTTGTAGGAACAAAAGGTGCAGAATCACTCCAGCATCCCTTTAACACCTGAAAATCAATCCAGCTTTTCTGTACAGTCGTGGTCTAAAAGGTTGTCCGACGTTTTATGATAAATTTCGGAAATGCAGTCCGTCATGCGAGAGATTTTAGCTTCTTCTCGCATGTAAGTGAGAGTAAAGGAATGACGTATACGAATATCTATGCAATGATACATGCGAATATTCCGAAAGCTTGTTGTAAAACGTCGGGCAACCTTTCTGACCATGACCGTACGCTGGAATATTGGCGATTTCACGTTATAAATGCAAACTACGGAGAAGATAACCGACATTAAAGCGCGTGGCACAAAATACATCAATAGTTCGACTTGACGTCTCGCGAGAAATTTAATTTTTTTTTTTCAAATGTAGGAAAATAATATTCGACACGACTGGCAAATTCTAATTAAAGAAACTTATTGCGAAGAATATTGCCTCGGCCAGGGTTTTTCTTTCAGTCGTGTCGAATATTAATTTCCTACGTCGTTTAATTATTTACTGGCGACAATGAGTCTGCATTCTTGTTAATCTTTTCATAAAGAATAATATATTATTCATTGCGCGTTATTGCGCAAACCGTTTAGCCTCTTGAACGGGATTCCAGATAATTTCAATTAAAAGAATTGACAACAATTTTTCTCGTTCACATTTTCAATTTATTATAATTCGTTGTGCCACGGCGCAGATAAAGTTTGTTTTTTTTTCCCGCACCTTCGACGTATCAGTAACGAAACGAGAACGCATTCTTGATTACCAGCCAGGAGTTCGAAAATTCATTACGATTTTCAGTCAAACTCCATTAAACCCTCCAAGATCGATTCTTTTCCCCCCCGGTGTTTTTTCTTTTTTAATCGATGCCTGCAACGCGAACATTCGTGAGCCAATGGCTGCGGTCCAGCATCAATGGCGCTATAGCGGGGTCGCCGTTTGAATAAACGTCCCATACAGTGTGCCGTGTTCTGCGCACGGGGGTAAATTCTTCTCCGCCGGTCCCCTCTCCGCCGGTCGTCTCTCCACCGTTTTATAAATAGACATTTACTCTTCACCTACATTTACAACACACCCCGTGGAAGCGGTGACAGGTCACCGCTCAATCTTCGTAACATACACACGTACACACGGCCGATCGCTACTCGTTTTCTCATCGCCACCTTCACGCATGATCTGCTCGCATCCGCCGCTTTCCGAATTGAATCCCGGTAGAGCTCCGGTGCTCACGAACGCGTGAGAAGTAATTAAAATTCGCCCCGATCGGCGGCAATTCTTTTTCGCGTGCGTCGCGCATTGTATTTGCAATGGCGACTTGAACGAAATTAGCCAATTCAGCGCCGTCGGTTGTGCACAGGATGTCGCGGACCTGTCCACCGAATGTCACGTCTCGCGTGCGACACGAATGAAAATTTACAACTTATTAGACGTGTACGCGGACAAAGGGAACGGTTGAATAATTGATCGCGGCGGAGATTGCACGTTGCGTAACTTCAACTTTTCCAATTGTACGTACGTACGTGTATATGCCTTTATCTGCATCTTGCAGTTTTGCACACAGCGTAGTTCGCGCCGCGACCTGTCTGTTGCTAGCTAAATACGACGCAGTCAATTACTTTATCTCGTTATCGATATTACTCTTGCTCCCGCGAGGTCACGCGAGGATGTTTTTCAAATTTTTCCGATGCTCCAAATGATTTTCAATAATTTTATATAAAGCTGTAAAATAATATAATACGGCGTATTACGCCCTTGACATTTCACTATATTTTTATCCTAATCTCGAATTTAAAACCAAAAGGGGTGCCTTCTTTTTTATGCATCGGGGAATTTTATCGTGAAACATTCAAGAATTCTCAGGATCTCTCTTTGAGTCCTTCAAGTTAAGTTCAAGCTCGTCTCTCTTTTTTTTTTCCTTTAAAGCTTTCGTGGTTCGGGAGTGTTTAAGAAAACGACGCACAGTTGAGACTGAAATATATTTTAATTTCTTATCGAGCGAAACATACCACGGGGCGCAATTTCGGCGACATCTCATCGATTCTATCCCTTGGTGAGCAATTTAACGCAAAGTTTGTCCTTCGTTCAAGCCCATTTTAGACAATCTGTAATTCGCGACAGAATCTGAATATACGTACATTAGATAATGTTTTGCACGGCGAACAACATTGTCCAACGAAAAATAATTCTTTTAAGCATTAAAAAAACGGAGGTAATTTCTCTAGAGAGACAAAAAGTTGCGCGCGCGCGCGCGTATTTCTACGTATATTATTTTGTACATCTCATAATATAGAGAACGTCTATAGAGAATCGAAGTCATTGCTAATAAAATTGGAGCATGTTGAGGTATATATGAGTAAACTGGCAGACTTAATAATTCGCATTTCTTCATCCATCGTAAGATTTTGACTCCGAGAATATGTAATATGCCAATGTGAAGACCTAAACAATTCTTGCAGGCTCCAAATAATATGTCTCTAATAATATACGCGTAATTATAATTCGAGACTTGACACGAGAATTTTCTCTTATTTATAATTATATTTACAACTTGACGCACGAAATCAGGCAGCAGATTTATAAATTTACAGAATCATTTCCCTCTGTCAAAATTATGCATGCGGTCTAAGGTGGGCTTTAATGTCGAGATTGTCGGCAGTATCAGTTCCCGATGTTAAAGTTGTAACTAGCGGATTTCCTCTCCGTCTAACTTCTCGGAGCACAACGGGGTTTTAGAGCACAAAGAGCCATCCGTTGGGGATTGTTACACGCTCGGACGATCCCTCGGAAAGATTGCACGAAGAAAGAAAAGATCGATGTAATGCGATTACACGCGGCCATTGGGCGATCTGCCCCGCGAGGGCGAGGCAGATGGGGACGGATCCGGGCTGCATCCGTTACTGCTACCGCGGCGACTTCCGGTACCGCCGGTCTTCAAGCGCACCATGGTGTCCAAGTGGCGGAATCTGTGCGTCAAAACCAAAAGAAACAGTGACGCAAGAATTATATCAGATATAATGTTTGCACAGCGATAACACGAAAAAATTTCCGGATCCAATGCTATTGCACTTCGATGTATCATGAAATAGGATCGAGGGCCAATCATATTCATTATAGAGAAAGGAATATTTTAATCTTAAATGAAAAATTCTAAAATCTAGAATAAACTGATAGTGTGTATCGTCTTTTGTCGAATATCGTGGTGCCAACTGCGTTGTAAGATGGGGGGGGGGGGGGGAGATTTATTCTAAACGCAAGAATATATAAAGTTACTCTTGTCTCAACATAGTAAGTCAATCTTTTTTTAATTCGACAGAGGAGAATAAGAATTGTTGATTTTATTTTGATATTGTCTTATTTTTATACTAAATGAGGTTGTCCGAAACTATAAGTGCGTCAAGAATATTTTTTGTCTCGGTAACAGAAAACCTTTCCGAGAGTGCACCGTTCAACAGAAAAGAATTCTTTTAAGTACGAGAAACGGAGGTAATTTCTCCAGAGAGATAAATAAAAAGGTGCACGCGCGCGTACTTCTATGCTTATATATGTATGAGCACGTGCGCCCACAAATATTTATTTTTGTATAAGTTGCAGATTAGAAATATAGGCCGTGCAATTCGTAAATTTTGCAGTATTTAGTGACTGCAAGCCACTTTCCAATTCAAAATATTGTATTTTTGTGGAGGTGTGTGTGTAAGTTTGGATTTTTACATATTTAATTTTTTTATGTACGTCGTAAACGACTTCTCTAAAATGTTCGTCTGCTTGATTTACAATTATAGTGTATAGACATAATGCAGGTACTTCTTTTTTTCCAAGATTCAACGAGAATCGGAAGGCATGATTTTCATCGACTCGTCGCTGTATCTTTGTTCCATGACTGCAATATCCTGATGAGATCATTCGTCATACTTCCCCTAATTAGGAGTAAGAACATCTAAATAAGAATGCCAGTAATGAATTTCGATAGTTGCATTGTTATCTATATTTTTATCTATTTTTTAAATGATATTTTTATATAGTAAAGATCATTTGTTTTATATTTTCATAAGTTAAGCCATTAAAATACTTGCTTAACTTACGTAAACATGTACTGCATGCTATTTTAGGAGCAAAAGTCTTTTTTACATTATTCATAGATCGACCGTAGCAAAATTGATAAGCTTCATATACGTGAAGAAATATTTCTTCTTTGACTTTTTATTACATATTTACCGCAGGACAAGCCTCGAGAAATTTTACGTATCACTTTGGAGAATATAAGATTGGAGAGCATGAAAGACACAAAGATCACGGAATAAATACCTGATTACTGTAAACTTATATTCATTGCAGGTTGCCAAAATATATAAATTATTGTTTTAATTGCGGACTCAAGTAGCCACCTCGCACAAGCTCGTCTATCAAATTTTATATTTGTATGCCTTGTCAATTTTTCCTTCGGTCGATATAACATAGAAAGATCGATTTCTGAACGTTGCAATCGTGGAAAAAAGATACAGTGGTAAATCGATGAAAATCATGTCATCCGACTTTCGTTCGAATTTGAAAAAGAAGCACCTCACGTCAATCGTAAATCAAGCAGACGAGCATTTTAGAAATGTTGTTTACGACCTGTATACAAAAAAATTGAATATACAAAAACCTAACTTATACCTCCATAAAAACATATTTTAAATTGGAAATTTTGCAGCCACTAAAGACTGCAAAATTGACAGATTGCGGGGTTTCCACGTTTCCAATCTGCAATTCATACAGAAACAAACGTATGTATGGACGAATGCACTCATACATATATAAACATAGAAATGCGCGCGCACATAGTGTCCAAAAACTATGGGAAACCATGAGATTATTCATTCCTGTGCCTTTTTTTGCTGAACAGCATAGTGAAATGTTTTTGCACAGTAAAATTTTTTACTTTTATCATTGGTTTTTAAAGACTCTTTTACTATTTTTCTCGTATCAAATTTTTATCCGAGGTTCTTTCTGACACATTCATGGGGAAAAAACCAAACAACATATAAACTTCACCCTGTGTGCGACTGGAGGGAAAAGTTGACCGGACGCAAAGGTAACAGATAACGGCACATTTCGTATCCCAGTGCCCTTCGCTTTGGATGATTCTGAAGCGGACTCGCACATTCAATGGAGTCAAATGTCATTATACTGCGGTCGATATAACGACGACGATAAGAGGAAAGACACTATTTGTCCTTGTATATAATAGCGGCAGATATCGGTATCGCTTTGCATCAAGTGTGGAGCGTTACATTGCATTGCGTTTTCGTCTAAATAATAGCGCAATGTTCCGAGCAAAATTTTTAATGTGACAAAAAATAAATTTCAATATTTATGCCCGACTAAAATAAAACCATGACGAAGGCTCGTTACTCTCCAACATTTTTCGAGCGCGTTTTTTTTTTACAAAAAAGTCAACTCGACATTAAACTGAATATGAACATTAAAATCAGGAATGGTATTTTTACATAATAAAAATATTAGGGACAAAATAATTTTGTTTAAATATAGTGAAGTCATAACAGTACAACACCTTATAACATAAAGTATAATATTAATATAATTATAACAACTAAAATAAAATTATAATAATTAAATGAATATAAATTATAATAACAGGAATTATAACATTCAAGTCGGGGAAAACTGAACAAATACCTGAGCGATAATTCACTTGTATCAGCAGCTTCTTTCGCCTGCATGAGATAAGCAAGTGGCCAAGATATCCAGGATTTCCTAAGTAAAGAAAATTGCATGTATGTATTCTATAATTAGACAGAGTCTAATCCTAAACAAATTAAGATACCGCCGATATAGTTGATGATATTTAAAATGATCTTACGCCCCGGATTGTGTATTTGATCCAATACCGCCGATTGTCGCCTGCGTGTCGAGCTTGGCTCCCGTCCTGTTTGGAGTCTTCGTGAATCCTGGCTGAATCGCAGGATCAGATACCATGCGCACGAAGAAGGACCTCCTCTGCTCCAAGGTTGCCTTCCTCTTCTTCTCGCGAATGTCCGCTAGCTCGTCCATCACGTCCTAATGTGCGCAAACACTCGATAATGTATGCAAAAAAACTCTCCTTTTTCTAATTAATATCAAAGTAATTATGTTCCAACTTACATTGAATTCTAGTAATTCGCTTAGATAGTCCGTTATGATGCTCCACGCCGTGTCTTAAACATCACAGAATTAATTCGCGATGCGTATATACTTCTTCAAGGCGAAAAGGTAAAAGAATTGACAATACATGCAGAATAAAAATAATGCATTTACATTCGAGATTTTGTGCACAATACACAATTAGATAGAACTGACGAGCTAAACTGACTTTATCACAAAGCTCTCGACAGAGCTTTCAGAAAAATCTTTTGAGGTATTGAGAAAGTTAAAACTTGAATGTTACCCCAAGCAGAAATGTAGGGAGATGAGTCTCTTCATAAAATTAAAATTATAAAAATAATTTACCAACATCTCTGGCAGTTGCATTAGGTGCAGTGAGCGCGAAACGTATTATGTAACGCTGATTCACTCGCGCCGGGGTCATGTGTATTTTTCCTGAGTCGTTAATTGTGCTCAACAATTTCTGATTTAATTTGTCACTGCCTTTAGCGCGAAAGCACACTAAGCCCAGCTGTAATGAACCGCGCAGTAAACACATGATGATAGGAACGACATAGTAATAGAGAGCAGCATAAGTCCTCTTACCAGAACCTCGTTGCAAACTTCGAACCTAGAATCCTTCTTAACGAGTTCCTCGAATCTTTTAGCGAGTTTGATGTGATTTCGGATGTAGGCTTGCAGCCCGGATATCCCGTAACTCCTCATTACAAACCACAGTTTTAATGAGCGAAATCGTCTGCTCAGCGCTATACTCCAATGCCTGTAAAAGACACTCGATTATTTATACCATTGAACCACAGTGTGACCATAGTATAACTGGTAGGTCCACTCTCTGCCGATCCCTTTGATCCGTGCGGTCTCGATCACGTGGTATTTCTCCATGCACCCGGGCAAGATCCAGCGACATGTGTGTGTACACGTACTCGTCAAAGCCACACTATCGCGCATACAATCTTCCTCTCATTGGTCTCTGTCCTCTGTCCAGCTATGGTATAACTGGTAGGTTCACTCCGTCATTTTGTTTTGCGTCGATCCCTTCTGCGCGTCCGACATTGTTCTGGGCAGATGAGAGAAAAGTGATTTGTGCGGTAATGCAGCTCTGATACACTACCACACATACGCCGCTAGATTGTCGTCCAAAATAATGGCGGAATACCACCGTGATCGGGACCGCAGAAATCAAAGGGGCCGACAGAGAGTGGACCTACTAGTTATACTATGATTCAACTATTGCTACAAAATATGTTTCTTTATGAAAGTCAAAGTCTCTCCACAAATTAATTATAAACGAAATTAAATAGTAATATCTAAATACCACGACAGATATTGAAGATTTCAAACAGAACAATGAAATTACAACAAGACAAAAAAAAGCGGGCTTTTCCAAAGACCCGTGTATATGATCTGAAAGCGAAACTTTGAAATATTTCCGTGAAATGGATTGACTAATATAACCGGTAGTCTATAGCCATGTCCACGTGTGTGTGCTGCAGATACAGCGGATCCACGACGAGCGCGCTGGTAAGCTTAAATCGGTCCCGAACCCAGAGGCAGGAGCAATCGAAGTTTGTCAGTAAGAATTTGTTGGGGTTGGTGTTGAATGAGTCGGCGTATTCAATACCGGCCATCAGGTATTTCAATTCCGGGCAGATAAATGCGTTCCCGGCATAAGCAGCGTCCACGTGAAGCCAGATCTGCGCGCGTGACAAAGATCCCGGTTAGAATACAAATTAATTTCACGTGTACTGCGTATAGCATATCTTCACTCACCCCTGGATATTTTTTACAAACCGGGCCTATTTCCTTAAGATTGTCGAACGAGACGCATGCGGTTGTGCCGAGAGTCGTCGAGACGAAAAAGGGAACGTAGCCCTCAGCTGTGTCGCTCTCGATCGCCTATCAATTGAATCACGTTGAGGCTAATATTATAGCAAGAAGTGAACGAAAAATAATGACATCTACAATATCACAAACGCATACATGCTTTTATCTTACAATTTTATCATTTTATTATGATGAAAATGTCGCGATCTCAACATCGTTTCAAGCTTGAGAATAATACAATAATTACGTTACTTGTCAAGAAAATATATAAACGTTTATACGAATGATATTAATTTCAATTAATTTACGTGGATGAGTAGAACAGTAACGCACCTGTTGCAAGGTGTCCCCGCGAAGTACACTCTTCTCGTCGGGCTCAAGTATGCGCAGCTTTACGAAGCTTATCATCGCGTCCTTCTCGACGGAACTATGACTTTCCCGGCTGCAATATGCCATCAGCTTGCCGAGCAGCGCGGTCTCGTCCAAGTGTGCATACGCTGGAGATTCCTTGAGTCGCGCAATTGCTTGTGCCCGAGCGGCCAGCATGCACACGAGAATGCATTCCGATGCTGAACCCTGCGTACAGGGTGGTTCACATCAAGTGTTACGAGCTCTTCCCTTGGGAAGTATTAAAGGTAGTGACGAAAGTCTTGCTCGTTTTAAATTTCCCCGTGACTCTTTATGGGGCAAGTATGGTGCCCGTGGTCGGACCTTGCAGAGGGGGCAATCTTCCTGTTTTTTTTTTCTTTTGTAACGCCATATCAACTGATCTCTTTCGCACAATTTCCGGTTTTTCTGTTTAAACGCCCGTTCTGGTCCTAAATGAATGTTTAAGTAGAAACACCAAAAATTGGGTAAAATCGAGATACGACCTTGCGAAAGAGATCAGTCGATATGGTCTCTTTTTTTACATTGATTCCCCTTGTCTACATTATTTTACAAGTAAAAATATTTAAATGAGAAATTATCGGAAAGTGAACACTTTGCGAGGTATCTCACATTTTGTTCCTATTTTATTCATATTCCTGATGTGTTTTGATAAAAAATAAAAAATATTCATATATTCAACTGTTCACTTTCCGATGACTCCATTGTAATTCTTTCATGCATAATGCAACGGGACAGATCGATTTTTTGATATGTTTTAAAAAGAATTGCGAGTGTTGACTTTTTTTTCGAACATGCCAGTTTCCAAATGCCTTTGCAAGGGATTTCTGTCTACAAAAATTCTGTCAATTACAAATCGAAAATTGAGGTGTCCATTTCCAAAAATTGAAGTTGAAGATGGACGTGGGGAGACGATTGGCTTGGAATGCTTCACATTACCATTTTAAATATTCGTATAATCTTTCAAACCTGTAGAACACCCCCGCCTTTACTGCCTTCGCAAAAGTATAAGAAATCCGTAGGCAGTCCAATCGCCTTGCCTGTAATTCAGAAAAATGATGCATTACTTTGTAAACCAATCGTTCGCAAAGTCCCCAAAAGGTTCTGACGAAATATAACTGAAGAGAATTACCGAACCAATCGCAGACTATCGTTTCCAGCTCTGTGCAAGCGGGGCTGGCCGCCTAAAACAAATAAGACTCCATTTTGGGAAAGGTCAGGCAAATAATTGCACACGATCCGTCAGGCGGATTTGACGCGGAATAAAAATTGTGGCCGATGTCGGTGAGAAAAATCGAAGCGCGCCCTCGGAGCGCCATTCTATCGCGTTAGACTGCGACTTCTCTAATTATAGTTTTACATAGTATTTACATACAGCTTCTTAGACTGCCTGAGAAGATTTTTCACTCACCCAAGAAAATCCAATGCAGCCTATAGCATCACCAAGCATATCACCAAGAATAGAGGGGAAGGAATTTCCGGCCGGGAAGTAGGCGTGGAACCTTGGATGCTGCCAATGAGTGATCTGGAAGGAAGTTCATCCGGCTGGTATAGAAACCACCTTTCCTCACAGTCGATACAACTCCTCGCGCTATTTTGAAATATTTTTTAGCGCGAGAAATAATTATCCGACATCAACTATTTAACAAAACTTGATAGAATCGATCGGGTTTAATACGCAAGAGGAAATCGTTCGGTTCGATTTCGCGAGGGATTTCAATCGAGACCAAGCGCAGTAATTCACCAAATATTTCTGATATCATTCAACCTCGGACCCCTTCCCGACGCCACGAACATACTCACGCCCGGCATGATCTTCGATTCCACGTCCTTCATGATCTCGTCCCAAGATTCCGGATCATTCGGCGGCTCCGGTGGCAGCAGAGGCCTGAGATAGCCGGGACCAATATCCGGCGTGACTCTCCTGGTATGGATGTTGCCCATGAACTCGCAGATGTAGTCCACCATCTGCTTACCGCGAACACGGAACTCCTCGATGTCCATGGCGACTTGTTACAAGTTTTACGCGATACGCTAATATATATATATATATATTGTGTTATTATCGTAGCTTCATTAATAATTTTATTTCCGAGTACAGATATACCTTGTGTTATTGCGCTTTATTGTTTTTCACAGATATCGGCACTATTTTCCTAATTTCCCGACAGCATGTGCTCACTCTGTGTCCCCGAGTCATTTTTTTAGCAATATAATATTTCCTTTATGATTTTCTTTTAGGCATAATGCTATTGCACACTTAATAGACTACAGTACAGGCTGTGTTTTATCGCGCTTCGTTTTATTGCGTTTCGCAAATATTGCATATATCGGCGCTATTTTTTATCAATTTTAATTTTAGCAGTAAAGCAGTAAAATTATTTCAGCAGTAAAGTATTTTTAATTAAAAGACACCTGTTAAGGAAATGTTAACGAAACGTATCGGAATAAAATGGCGAGCTTGCGCGTTTTCCCTATTAAATTGCTTTTTCAAACAGGATACTCTTGACTTTAACGAATAAGCTCTGCAAAGATATATAGAAAAGTAAAGTGAGACTAAATATAGATTTCAAATTTTTTTGGACCTGAACACAATACAGATATGTTACACTATTTTCAATAGCTTGTAACATATAATTTTTACAGTGAGAGATTGTAATTCTACACGTAACCGTAATTTCACAACAACGTTGCAGAAACATTTTGCAACATTACAGCGTTACGGTGTCACAATGTTTCGGTGTAAGACCTATGCAAAGTTCTCGCTACATTTCTGTGCTGTATGGGAAAAGATAACGCGTTATAACTCGCTCTGCGGCGATATCGATTACGTCTTGATGTTTATTTTAACATTTGTTCCGCATAAACTTGCTTTTATACGTGTATAAAAAAAACGTGCTTTCTTACAAATAAGCAAATCAATTGACCACACCGGCCACGATATTCGCGACACTCTTTACACCCAACAAACTTATTCGATTCTTATTCTTCTCTATAAAATAGAATCGATATCTTTTATCGCAAATCAATCGGACGCGTAAGACGTCGAATTCGATATATCAGCCTTGTCCGATCGCTCAGGCAACCTTACGCGAAGAAGCTTGGGGCTTCTTTCACCCCCGAATTTTTCACATTCACACGTGTCGTCGCGACAGTGGACCTAATAATCTCAGACTGAGGACAATTCGATTGATACCTTCAAGCACAGCTTCGCAATTTCGCGACTGTCACTTGCGCGGCTCACTCGCAATTTCGATTTTTGCAAAATTCGCGGTTGCCTCGCGCCCGGACGCCTTTTGCATTCTCCTACCTGTTGCTGCTAACGGTGACGTGACGATACGGCGTGATAGAATCGGGATGCACACACCGACGACTCGAGCTTACGTCGTCGGATCGGATGACGACTGAACTGAACTGAACAATCCGGGGCAGTTTGCCATCCACCGCGGATATATGTCGGTGGCTTCCAGGGCGCAAAATTCCATCGGCGAGTCCTGCGCAAACGCATCCTTCTTCGGCAGGACTTCTTCGCCAATTCGCGAAAAGACGCGCGTCGCGCACACCCGGCTTCCCGCACACCCACCCCCACAATACAATCGCATACGCTTGTACACGGGGCGCCTTGGGCTCGGTCAAAGATCATAGGGTCAAGTTATCCACCCCCAAAGGAATTTTTATACGAAAATTACGCGAATTGACTTGCAAATTACGGATCCACGTGCACGCCGGGAATAGGAATTATTACTTTCTTTGATGTTGCGCGAGACGTCTTGCAACGATTATTTCGCCAAAGGAAGCAAATGACAAGTGATGCTTCATTACTTTTCAATTTCTTATCCTAGTTACGAATTATACTTTTCCGATATATGCTGGAGCAATTTGTTTCGTGTATTGATTGCGCATAAAATATGTGACTCTAATTTGAGTTTCCCCTCGGTGCGAAAAAATTTTATTCGGAGCTAAAGTTCATTTAGTTTCTGGCACTTATCAGGTTTAAACTAGCATGTGACGCTCACATCGTAATTATATAGAAAATATAATATATGTATAATATAAGAAATATCTGCTGTGTAGATACACTGTTAGTAGCCAATCAGTTATTAATTTTTAATTTACAAAACTTCCGTAAAAACGAAGTCTACACTGATAAAAAAATATCTTAATCCAAAAAGATATTACTTTACTCAAGAAAATTATTCATTGGGTGGCTCCTAATAGCTTATTAACTTAAATTAAAAATAATAAACAAATTAAAACATGCATTTTTTAGATTTAAGTATTTTAAATTTAACAAATTTACTTTAATTCTAGAAAATGATTACTGAGATATAAGTTTTACAGCGACTTTTTTGTGTCAGTGTACTTGACTGAAAAAATTAATTTCATTACCGTTCGCCTCCTAGAATAGTTGGAGAACAGCCACTATAATCTTCGCTCGTTAATTACTCGGAAATTGCTTCGACATCTTCATTGAGTCGCTTCCCTCGGAATCGGCCGTGGGATCCGCGGTTAAAAGGACATCCGATGATTCGAGACACCCCGTAAAGACGCCTCGTTCACTCGAGTAAATTGGATGCTGACGTACCCGCGGTTTATTACAATGGAAAAAGGCGGGGTACGTAGGCATCATTAAGAGGGTGCCAGCCACAGAAGGCGCCCGTTGATTCTCGCCGAGAGGGAACGCTCGGGGATACTGGGAGCGAGATATACGCGAGATGGAAATCCTTGACCTCTCTTTCCTCCTCCGCATTAAAGAATCGGCCCCGAGATATCGCGGAGCCGCGCGCTACCTTTCGATCGCGTCGGGGGAGACGGCGGCGGGAATCATCATCGAGATAAGATCCCTCATGTTCTCCACTGCTGAAATTAGCTGCCGCGATGATGGCGGCACTCGCCGGGTCAATTTGCGTGGTAATTATAGCTCGGGGAGAGCCGGGCGGCTCGAACGTTAATCTAAAAAGCGTTATGGAATATTCGTCGATTACGGACCGAACGATCCGACGTGCGATATTGATGGCAACGGAATTGATATATAAATGCCGTATTTCGGTGCCGGCGACGATCGCACCCGCGACGCAGAAATTGAATTTACAACGCGGTAATGGAATTTTCGATGTTGGAGAGACGTATTTTAAAAAACCCACCCTCATTTTTCGTCCTCCTTTTCTTTCCCTCGCTGAAGATTCCATCTCTCTCCGGAGAGGGAGAGCGCGATATCCAAGAATTTCATTGCGCGATAAATTAATATATATTTTCGTTTCGAAGCAAATGTCCCCGGTGTAATATAATTCGGGGTCCTCGAAATAAATTTAATTCCGCGAAATCACGCCTTCTCGCGGGGCGATTAAGTAATTGCATTGAACGCGCGCGCCCTAAGATATACGTCTATTTAGGTCATCAATTAAAGCGAATTCTGGTTAATTAAATTTTCTTTGTCCCGCATTTAATATCGCGCGGCATTTCAATTCAGACGAGAGGGACGATCATTAATTCTCGAAATTAATTAACTCGAACCGTCATCGCGACTCATCTCGCGGCGCGAGCGCCAGTCCCTTACGCGGCTACGAGGACAATCCTGTTCGAGATGAGCCCAACGTCCCATTAATTGAATAACAATTTAACGAGCAAATTAAAAACGAGCGTCCCTTTTATTTATCGTCGACGCTCTCGCGGGGCTCGTCGCGACTCCACGCAGGATCGCGTGTCCCGGCGCGTAATTTCGACAAAGGGCACGCACGACGCGCCACGAAGGGACAACCTCCTGCCGGTACGACACGGGAGGTGCAACGAACCCAGGAGCTGGTGTGATCGCGGGCCAACGGCGGATAGTCGGTCCTTCCGCTCACGCCTTTTAGGGATAAAAACGCTCATAATACCGGAATGCGGGAGAGAAAGGGGGATACCCGGGTCGACGGGGGTGCTTAATAATGCAATATGGCGTCGGGGCGTCGCGACGCTATGCGTGCTATGCCGCGCATACCGCTACCATATACGCCTACACTTGGAACCCTCTTGCGCCCCCGCATTGTCCCCCGTGTCTTGCCTCCCCCGTCTCCCCCCCCCCCCCTCGTGGTCTCCACCGCGGGAACGAGGCCGCTCCTTCGCGTATATCGCCGGGAATCGAATGTTGATTGGAAAATATTGATGGGACTTTCCACCTGGTATCCGCACCCGGCGAGCTCATCCTCTCGTTCTTCGTCTTCGACGTCGGAAAGGATGCTTTTTCCATTGCGATACGCCTCGGAATGCCAGTGAAATATATATAGAGTGTGTGTGTGTGTGTGTGTGTGCGTGTGTACGTACGTATACATGTACATGTCTTAAAGCCAAGACTTTCGATGGACGCCACTCTGGTAGCGTTGATATTAATTGGCGCGGATCGTGCCCGAGCAATATTGAAGTAATGAGGGTCGTAATATCAACGGAAGGGTCTGATGCGGCCACTAAGAGCTCGATAACGCCATTTTGAATTGTTCAGACTAACGAACCAAAGAAGACTAACTGTAATTTTCCATCACTGGTTACCGCGCCGGTGAACGCAGTAATATTGTAATTTTTTTACGCAGAACTTTCAAACGCGTCTTCAACTCTTCCGCACTGAATACCGTTTCAGAATAATTTCGTTTTACAATTCTAAATTGTTCCTGTTTCCCCTTATTAATAACTTGGCAGCTTAAAATTGTTAGATTTAGGTTTCAAATACAAGTAAACTAAGCAAGTAAATAAAGCAATTAGAAATACTAGTCGCGGCACGCAAGGATGAAAATAGGGAGGGTGGAAATAAGTATGCAAGAATGAATGAGTTAAGAACATATTGTAAACCAAGTCCACTTCCAGGCTGTAAGCTGAAGTTAATAAATTATATATGTAATTTTTTTACAGTGTAAGTGCGACAGCAAACCGTTTGCTGTGCTCTAGAAATTTATAGTTAACGCAGCAAAGTACTTTCAGCAAATCATGATTAGCTACGGTAGCGAAAATTCTCTTTTCCAGTGTATCGCAACTATGTTTCCCTATCAAAATTAATGACAAATATTGTGGAATACGTTTCGGGAACATGCTCGAACGTTCTCCGATTCGTATCTTCACCTTTGCGTGCGCGAGAGCCCCAGATAAACGTCACAATCGGCGAAATATTTCTGCGTACGACTATACAAGGTCGTTCCAAGTTCCATGAATGGTTCCATCGAATGGCACGCCAACGAAACGGCGATGCTTGTGACTGAACCCATGACCTACTGGCAGAGAGAGAGAGAGAGACGTGGTGTCTAAACACCGCCGCTGCTCGCTTCGATTTCCAGAACAGCTCAACTATTTCTGAAATTACGCCCTCTAACATTTATGCTGACCTTATTGACAAAAAGAAGACCCCCCCCCCCCGCCTTCGCAAGGGTCATTCCGAAATCTATTTTAAAAGGATGCATTTCGTTTCTCCATCGTCGTAATGTTTTAAATAATACCAAAAATTTGAACGATTCTGTTATTGCGTAATTAGACGGACGGTTTCTTTTATTTTTTTGATAATAATTTAAAGTGCAGTGAAAATCCCTCGAGGAGTAAACATATAAAGCTTAATGACATTAAATTACTTTATAAAACCAAATCGATGAGTATATCAGCCATTGCGATGACTCGTCCTTTTTAATTGGTCAATTATCTTGCAATGAGTTATAAATAAAACAGAATCGTTCGCAATGTAAAAAGTGTAACAACGTCTAATGAATAAAGTTATAAAAATACCTTCATTCTATGAAATTTTAGATGGAAAAATCGAAATTGAAGAAGCTGCAACAAGAGCAACCCACAGCAAGAGAAACCGAAGAGTCGACGAAGGTGCCAATACATAATTTACCAGAAAGATTTCTCTGGATGCACGTGAGTCCTCAAAGCTTTCAGAATTATGGAACTATTCGATTTTATTCACGAAACTAACTATATCCGAAGGTGAAGAGTGGTACAAAAATTAGGAACGTTCTTAATGTCGCGCTGAAGGAATTTCCCAATTACAACAGCGTCGTATGGACTGGAATCGGACACGGTATTACGAAAGTTATTACTTGCGCGGAAATTTTCAAGAGGAAACACGAGGGTCTTCATCAAGTGACAAAGTTATGTTATGACAGGTAAGTTTGCCAAAATAAATGTCAATAAATGCAGTCGTTTTTCAATTGTCATTTGCTTTCAGTTCAGAAAATTCGAAGGAAAATGTAGCTGCCGAAAATCGGACACCGAAAATCCACATTTTACTGACCAAGGACATTAAGGATCCGACTGAACTTGGGTGAGGTTTATTCATTCAATTTCATATTATTCTCCATAAAGATTGAAACAATTACACACAAAGCCCGTATCAGACTGCGGATTGAGATTAAGTAGATTGAAATTTGACCAATCAGAGTAAAGTTTATTAATCTCAAGTTTAGTGGCTTTTACTCTAATTGGTCAAATTTCAATCTAATCTCAATCTGGTCCATAGTCTAACAAAGGCTTGACACTCATCACAATTTAATTCGTCTAAAAATGTAATCGTTTATGCACATTTGTCATGTGAATCATATTTTTACATTTGTCGTATACTTTGGCGTTCATAAATCATAAACGAATAAAAACCGAGAAGTTTAACTTCCTAGAATATTTTTATCAATACTTAAATAAATACAAATACTTTTTATTGACTGAGGGTATTAAATATAGCAGAGCCTGAGTAAAATTCGCCTAATTGAAACAAAAATATTTGTACCAAATTTTTTATCTTGAATATTATTTGCTAAAGTTTTTGTTGCAATTAAAATTATGGTATTTTGAATCTTTTTTTATTTTCTTCCCGATACACAGTTTTGCGTGTATACGACAGAAAAATATAATTATATTTCGTTAGGTATCAAGCACCTGGGGATCGCGGAAAGTTTTCGAAGAAGGAAAAGGCAACGGGATCAAAAACGAACATTACAGAAGAAAGCACCGATAATGTGCCTTGCATCGACAGGCAATCTTCAACGTTGAGAAAAAACGGGAAAAGAGAAAAGAAAATGTCGGAGAAAAAACCAGCTTCGAAGAAAAATAAAGCAGCTTGATTAGTAATTGAATTAAGGTATAATTGAAGTATTTTTAACTTTAAACTATATATTCTAGCTTCACCCGTTCTGAGTATAGAAAATGAAGTGCAATTAGAAAAAAAACAGTCAAACTCACGTTCTATTTTTAGATATCGCTGTATAATAGTTTAGATAAAGAAATAACGCGCGCCTTGTATAGAAAGTTTATTTCTTTATCATTACATAGACAATCTTCATGGCAACAGTCACACATCATATATATACATATATATATGTATATATTCCTGCTGCGTAAAGAATCTTTCGTCACTTATCGCGGTATTCGTTAATATTATAACTCGAGTTTTTGTACTTACAAGTTTTATATACAGTGTTACAATATCTTTTCCGTCGCGTCGAATACGAAAAGAAATAATCTCGCAATGCGCGATATGCCGGAGCTACTGTGACTTGTCAATCTCGTTGCGAGAAGCATGTAGGGCAGTACAATTCTCGCGTAACAACGTGCGCCAATACATATTGAGTATGAATTGCTCTGTCTTCCAGTGTATGATAAAGAGATCACACGATCACGAAGGCGTAAAAGACGCCTATTCTTATAAAAGGAGAATTACAACGAACGTTTGTCGCAAAGCAATGCCATCGTCGATCGGCTGTCGTAAGATTTCATCTTACAATCTATTTCTCGGATTTAAAAAAAATCGTCTTCCCGTTAATAGTGTTTGTTTTAAAAAACGACGCTCGTATATCCGCGCTATAATTTCGATAGCGATATTTTATTATATGTAGATTCGAAGAGCCACAGATGGGCAGAATTGATAAGGCGCCCGACCATTCTTCTACACTCCATTTCTTTTATCATACTTTCCACTTAGCGTTATATCCCAACAAGCAATCTGTCCAAGGTTCACCGTAAATTGTTACGAAATTTTCGAGAACAGGATAGGAAAGCTTAGTATCCTTCATATTGCTATACGGAATAAATGTATATGTACTATAAATAACAGTGCTATACCACATTTATCGCTATGCCTCTCTCGTTCAAACAATACATTTTATAAAGACCAACTACGTGATGACGATTATTATGGTCACTCTAAGACTAACACGATGCTCGTATAATAATGTGTAAAATTCTACAATCGTTTATATAAATTCGCATTCTTCTTTTGGTTATGCAAATCGGCAACAAACATATGATCTCCACTTTATTGGAAATCTCTGTCTCTGGATTTTATCTTACCTCGAGCCGCTTTGAGATACAAAGATCACTAATTATCAAAGCTGAATCTGTCATTTCGTCGAAGATAAAGTAAAAGTTATTACGTCATTAGCATCTCAGTAATTCTCATACCGGACAAAATTCGACGATTTTTAGTGCAATGCACGCTATTTGTACAAATAAATTAATGATACCTGAAATTAATTAGAAATTTAATAAAAGTTATCTGATAGAATTTGGTTTGCACGCATTCTGAAATAGACAATTGTTTAAACAACTAAGTGTGTTTAACATACATAAATGAGTTACATATTTTTCCATTACACATATTTAGCATATATAGAGAGATACACACAATCTATTATTCTTACAAAAGGTTCCTTACAAAAGGTAAAGCATAATAGAGAGATATGGGAGACACTTTTGCGGTGTCTAGTAACTTCAATAGCGTAAGATAAAAAGTTTACAACATCGTATTATCTCTTTCCTCCTTTTTTCTTATTTTAGTGTAATATATTATAAAAAGTATAACAGAGATTAAATTATCATATGCAGTATGTTTCGATTTGATAGGTTTGATAGTTTCAGTGAATTCTACTGTTTAAAAGGTTGCACAGATCTTAAACATTAAAAGAACGAATAGATACAAGAGTTGTGCTTGTCAAACACGAAAAAATACTCTACAGCAATAATTGCACGGCTATTAATAAAACACTCATCGAAGAAAATTTCTGTTTAATAAGGTACTGAGCAAAGATAAGAATATGTCTTTTTCGAGATCTTTGAAATTTGTCACAATTACCAAGGAAATATACTTCGGCGAGAGATACGCTCTAATGAAGCAGGTATCTTGAAAATTTATGTATACAAATTCGAAAGTTTTAACTCTTCAGCCGAACTCGCGAGTCTCTCGTGTCCTAGCAATTTCAACTGTTAAAGATTTTTCGAAAACCTGCACGAATGTGTAGGCGGCTTCTTTGTAAGAAAAACAAGTTAGTAGTTGGGATATTTCGCGGCTTGTCGACATCAGCCGGTTTTTATTTCACATGTGAAACGATTGAAATCGGTGACGGACATGAAAGACCCACGAGTTCGTTGGCGGAAAGCAATTGTTCGCTTTACCTCACGCCATATAATTTGCACGATGTTAGAACATGATTCAAAAAAGGTAAACTCTAATGTGATGCATATTTTTAAATACAATATTCTTCTCGTGACACATTTTCATATTTTTTTTATATATTAAAGACAGAAGACCATAACAAATTCACGTCATTTAAAGAAGAGCGAATTTACTGACCCCTTTCAAAGATCTTTATTATATTAATCACGAAATATCAGAATAATGCGTGAATATTAGCATTTTTCTTTTCTTACTAAATCTGGCAATTCGACTTTGGGCAATACGACCGCAACGTTAGATCCTATGCTTCGCTCTCCGTTGCGCCTTCACCTTCCATAATAGGTACTATCAAATTGTCTTTTGACATCAGATTATATTTCGTCACAAACGCCGTAAACCTGTAACAACGGGAAAAATCGATATTTAGTCCCCTCCCCCCGTAATACATCAGAAGTATCTGTCCATGCATTCATTACCTGCGACAGAGGAAAGTCTCGTTTTCAAACTCGTCGAATATCGTCCTGTGATGAAAGTACGCGTGAGAGAAGATTCTGTAAACCCTACGGCAGACGGAGCCGAGTTTCGCTACGGAAGATTCCTTGATGCTGATTCTGAAATGCAATTTTTCAGCATGATGAAAGATTCGTTTACACACAGACACAGGCACGTGCACGCAAATGATAAAAACGTGACCAACTGTAAACGAAAGGCGAGAGGGGTACCTGCTGGGAAAATACTTGTTGCTGTTCAGCAGACACGCCGCTCCGTCCAACGTGTGCCGAGTGTAATCAATCGCGGGGCACTCCTTGGGAGTCTTGTGCGCCGCGCACAGGAATATCCACTGTTCCGTGGCCGTCATCTGCGTGCAGGTCTCGGGATGGCACTCCTCTTGCAGTCTGACCGCCAGACCGTTCAGCTCCATGCAGAACTGCCTGAGATGCTCGTACTTCCACACCCCCTCGTCGTTTGCCTCCGGCATGTTAAGTATCAAATCGATGTTAGACGGATCCCGCCGGATCATCTGCTGGATGTACTGTTGCACGGCCAGCGTGCTGTCCATCTCCTCGAACGGCTCGTCCGGCCATCTGCAAAAATCCTATAGAGCGAGGAATAAAAGCCCGATTAGAAGCCTTATAAAAATAATTAAATCTACGTCAGCGTCCTTTATAAACAATCGATCCGCCTCCTACTGTACAGCCCGTCGTCGCGTACAAAAATAGACCCGGCGTAGCGCGTGAAACGCAGGACTCTCCTCGTGTCTTATCGTGGCGTTGGATAATCGATAAAAACCACTGGGAGTTAAACGATCCGTACTGCGCGCGTAAACACGCGGTCTTTCGGACGGGGGCTGCAAATAAATCGTCCGTCGATCCCGGTCGCGCCTCGCCGAGGGAAATGCCGCGGAGACGTCGTCGAACCGGACGCGACGCTCAAGGAAACTCAAGCGGGGGGGGGCAGGGTTCTCGCGGTGTAAACAGTAATCTCTTTCTCTCTCCGCTTATCGCGGAATCATCGATTTTCATTTTCGGACAAGTGTCAAACGAGGGGGGGGAGGGAGCGAACGTCGGGGAGACCCACGGGGGGCATCGTCGGGCGGTTCTTGACCAACGACATATCAACGCGGCGTTTAATAACCTCTGCTTTCGTCCCGGGCCTGTTTCTCCGCAGGATCGTGGGTCCGTCCGCCATCTTCATCTTGCTGCACTCGTACGACCGGTGCGTGGCACGCACGCACGACTGCCGTGGAGACGGTCACTTGGTCGCCGCGCTCTCCGCCGCCCCCCCGCCCGTCGATCGGACGTGCCCCGCGAGAGCGACGATTCGTCCCACCCCGGTGTGCGACGAGACGCGGAGCAGTCCGGCCCAGGTTGCCTCGGCTTGTTCCGCCTGGCGGAGCGACGCATGCGCGCCGTGCGCGCGCGCCGTCGAAGCGTAGAGAGAGAAATGGAAATTATATATATTTTTAAAAGCGCGCCGCCGGCGATTTCCTCGAGGGAGGGAAACGGCGCGATCGCAACTTCAGAGAGAACGCGAGACGACGGGGGCGACTTCGTTCGATAGCTCGCGATCGGATCAATCTGGGGGTCATTTCTGTATCTTGCTTAAAAGTGAGCGGCTTTGTCTCTTTCCAACTGTTACTTTAGAGAGAGAGAAACTTGAATTAAACTAACAATAAGATTAAAGATAAACGACGTTTGGTGAAACTGGGCCTGAGGGGACAGTTGGAACGAGATAGAGCTACTCATGTTTAGCATTTTCACTGCAACGTAAGATACAGAACTGACCCACCGAGCTCATAACTTAAGGCCCGGTTTCACCGACATAACGTAACTTTGACCTCAGTTTAATTTATCCTGTCTCTTCAGAGAGAAAAAGAAATTTAATTAAACTAAGATTATAGCTGAAGCAATGTCGGTGAAACTAGACCAAACGCTAACAAGATACCGCGGGTATTTGACAAATTGATCGCTGATTAAATCTACCGGCAGGCTCGGCCGAGGGCCCTTCAGTCTCTTGTCGAAGTACATTTTTCCAGCAATGATTGCGATTCTGGACTGTCTCGATTCCAAACTGCAGATTCGACTCTCGTTATTATAGATATACGTGACAAGCAAGAGACGAATTTTTCATTTCGACTGTATTTGATGTTTCAATTTCATGTACATCTACGAATCGGTACTCTCTATCGCGCACGACTCGCGCTCGTCCAAGTCATCAATGTACTTTCTCGTCACTATACATCTCGTCATGTGACAACCGCACGGAACATCGTGCTCCACTGCCTCCGCGTCGAGCAAGCTCAGCTCCATATTGTAACGTCTCGGACACGACGCGTTTCTCCTCAGTTCCAGTTTGAAGGCGACGGGCTCGCCCCTCGTCACCTCCGCGTCCTCGGGCAGAACGACCGCGGTTTGTTTCCAGTGCGTCGCGTTGTCGCGGGGCCCCGTGGACAGTTCCGAGCCGTCGGGAAACTCGACCGCGAACCAGATGCACACCCCCTGGAACCGCCCGTCCTTCTCGCACACCGACACATAATCCTCTCCACCCAGCAGATCCAGCTCTGCCACGGAGACGCACCTCAGGTCCAGCCAGGCGAACAATTTTCCTTCCGCCAGAAGGTCGTCTCGATTTAGAAGCAGGACCTCCGGCTTCGAGGATTTATCTCTTCTGTACTCTCTTCCAATACATCTAAATGAAAATTGAACGCACCGTAGAATAAAAATACTATAAATAACAATGGCTCGTATGATAAAATCAAAGAATAGAAGGGGCTCAGAGCCTGAACAAGGTTGTAATGTCCGATAAAATTGTACTACCGTCCCTTACTTAATTAATGTTTACCGTTACATGACTGTTTTTTATTTTTGACTCATGATTGTTATATCTACTTGCGCCGCGTTTTTTGTACTATCGTCTCTGAATTTATTACAATTTTATATTGTCGGAGCAAAATTTTAGTATACGTTTGTCCTTCGAACAAATTCAAGAATCAAGAGCCCCAGAAATTATGCAATCACCTCATACTGACTCCGCACACATCGTTCCAAAATTCGTACATGGAAGGCAACTGGCACGGCGAGGCGTACAGTTTCGCGACGGACGGGAACAACAAACCGTCCTCGCGTAAGAAATTATCTCTGGCGAAGAGCACGGAATCTAACATTCCTTCGTGCACCAAGTAAAAACCCATCCATTCTGAAACAATTACATCCACTTTCTCTAAACTGCCTGGACGAATGTCCTCTACTTTACTGTGAATTACTTCAACTTTGCCCCGCACGTTGTTTTCACTCGACACTTGCTCGATCGTCCTCGCCAACGTGCTCGCTTCCACCGCGTAAACTTTACTCGCGCCAACCTGGGCGCAAAAAACCGATAATATTCCTGCAAAAGAGGTGTGCATATATGATCAAAGTAATATTACAATGAGACGGGAAACTTATAGTCAACCGGCCAGTTGCTTTATTAGTTTACTACAACGTTTCGACCCTATTTTTTGGGTCCTTATCAAGTGGTACTAAGTCAGTCATCGTCGTCAAATAAGACAGAGTCGAATTATAAAATATACGCATACGTGTGAGCACTATGGTTGCTGGACTCCAACAGTGTAATATTATATTGCAATATAGGTGTCTCATACCTGCCTCTCAAATAGAGAATTGGGAAATCGTACCTGAGCCAGCACCAACGTCCATTACGATTTTGTCCTGAAACTGCTCCTTCGAGTTAAAAATTGCAGCTTTGTACGCCAAGACACGTGCTTTGTCGCTCAGCATTAATTGATGGATCTGAAAATAGAACTCGATTTAATAAATGTGATAAATAAGGCGGGCCAAGATACACGTCCCTCTTTCGCAGTTTATTCTCGACAGGTGGAAGGAAAAAAATCTGAAAAAAGTACCAAGAGATGCAGCGCTATTTAATCGTGATATATTTATGGATGCTGCGGAAATGATTTCTGGAAAAGGACGCGGTGTAAATAATTTTCTCTCGTCTTTCCACATTTCTTTCACTTAAAGATTCAAGTGCATTTAACGAACATTTTAGCCGCGAGCGCGCAATGTTTATCCGACCGCGGAAACACACGATGACAATTGACGTAACCTATATTCTGAACGCGTTTCCACTCGTAGTTTTCGGGCGTTTAAGAAAGGAACGTGCATTTTGGTCCCCGTCCCTGTCTGAAGATCGCATATGCAATTAGAGATTTATAATTTGTTTCGCTTACATCGAGTTCCTCGTAACTTTTGAAGTATTGATCCATCGTTCGCACGTGTGAACAAAAGTGTGAATTCTGCAAGACGAAGTACAACTTCCTGTTTCAACGTTGTCTTCTACTTCTCTGGCCCTTGTCTTCTAGAGGCAATTCCAATTGAGAAACACATCGAACGTATCTCGATCCGCCTTCGATCAGGCACCACGTGGATAACACGTGTGTAACTGAATCTTCTCCATTTACCTCACTGTCACGCGTGTCGATCGAATCTGTGAGAAAATTCTCAGGAAATAAATATTGTTACTCGCCAAACTAATGCGGAAACAAGCACCGGCAATTTATTTAGAAATTTACTATCGGTCTAAAATATCGGTGTATTTATGCAAGTCCACGCGTGGACTCTAACCTGTCATTCAAGCAGCCATAGTTCTACGAACATTCTTTTGGAGTGCATTCTTGATTTCAGAATATTCTATAAATATATAGATTATTACAATTAGAAATCGTATATTCATAACAAAGAAGAAAGTTTTTAGAATATTCGTCGAGAATGTCTTTGGAATGTTTTGTCAGAATAATTTTTTAACATTTATCGAGTTTATGTATTGCACATTGTTTATTGTGTAATACACTTATCTCATGCAAAAGGCAGTGAAACCTGTGATCATACCATGTATAACCGACACGCTAGATTCGTTAGATTATTCTATTCACGTTCGAGAAAGATTTATAGTAGTGCCAGTCGAATGTTTCACGAACATAAGATAAATATATAAGAACGACCCATGGAATATTCCAAATATTCTTGATGAAGATTGAGACAGGAAACTTATAGTCAACCCAACTGGCTACTTATTTAACCCTTTGCACTCCGAATTATACTTCATCTATTGGTTTGGACTTGAAAAAATGTCGAGTGAGACTCGACAAAGGAGCCCCTGAGATAAAAACTGATGTCGAGTTACACTCGACATAGGAGTGCAAAGGGTTAATTAGTTTATTACACAACATTTCGACCCTATTCTTTTGGTCATCGTCGTCGAATAAGAGAAAGTCGAGTTATAAAATATATGTATACGTGTTGGCACTGTGGTAGCTAGGCTCGAACCCTCGAACTCGAATTCTTGATGAATATTCTTAAAATGTTCATAGGAGTGTCCTGTGCTATCTGGGATTGTACGTTGTCCAACCCCAACTGTACTACATCACAATTAATAGGATTAGAACTTAGGATAGGATTTATACCATGTTTCAATTTCTATGCTGAAATATTTATAAATACATTCGATTTGATATAAAAAAAAACTTAACGCGCATACATTCTAAGGAACATGATACAATACTGGCACAAAAGTAATATTTTTAGGCGTGTCTTAGTATTTAGGATTAGGCTTGTTTTCAGTGACGGACATTAACTTCTCTTTCTCCACCATGCGTCTCTTAAATTCCATCTGCTTTTCCATTTGCTTCCTCTTTCTCTCCATTCGTAGCAGCTCGTTTGCAGAACTCGCTGCAGAAGATTAGGAAAGTCAGTGTTTACAAATAAGATACATTTTTGCGCAGGAACGATTTAATGACTAATCACGTTTTTCAGCGTTACCCGATTTCGACGTCTGTTCACTTGTGGGATTTGTTTTAGTTGGACAGGGCTCGGCAATCGTATTTTTGTATTTCACAGATGCCAGTGGATTGGCCTCGCTCGTACTGTTCACAGTGGATCCCACAGTAGGATCTAAATATGTAATAGCTCAATACTGATTTGCAGCTTGAACATGAAGAATTAAGCTGACAACGATATAAACACGTTTAGAAAACTATAACTCGCATTCTTTAAAGAAAACTTTAATCTTTCAAAGTTTCTTGAAGCCATTTAAAATTGTAGGAACTTTTCTTCGAAAGAATTAAAGTAATCAATGTTAAAAAAATAAGACATTTTTGTGTAAAAATGACAAGTACATAATCAGTATTACCTGATTTCAGCTTCTCCTCGCTTGTAGAATTTGTTCCTTTCGGCGAGGCTTCGACAACGTTGACACTAATTGTAAGAACCTCCTTAGATGACGATGGATCAGCCTTAGTTGCACTGTTCTTCAACTGCAGTCCTTTAGCTAAGCGAGAAATCAAGCGCTGTGAAATCTTTTGAGGAAAACTTTCTTTGAAAACCCCCTACAGTTTTAATTAAGTTTAATTTACTTCAACTAACTGGTTAAACTTTGAGATTAGTTACATTTAACTAATCTCTAATCTATTATTCTGTATATATCTATTGTTAGCAAGGCTAATGTTATACTACTTAAAGTAACATCGCTACACGTTCACGTGTAGAATTTATTCCGTTCAGCAAGACCTAGACAATATTGGCACTAAGAATCTTTCGAAATGATGGACAAGCTCCGATCGTACTTGCTGAACAACCGCTCTAGTTGGTCAGAAAATCAAGCGCTTCGAAAACAGCCTGTAGCTTAAATTTATGTTAGTCTCAACTCCTACATATAGCATTTCATATATACCTATTCCGTCCAAATGTTTTACAATATATAAAATCTCATTTGACTCACTTGCAGAATCTGTTACATTCGGCAAGGCCTCGACAATTTTAGGAATTGTTCCAGATGGTAGACTAACCCCTAACCCCCGACTAGCCTTCATCTGCTCTAGTTGACTAGCTGAGAGAAAAATCAAGCGCTATGGAATCGAGGAAAACTTTTTTTTTCGAAAACCGTCTACGGTTCAAATTTATATTAATCTCAAATCTATAGTGTTCTATATACCTAATTCTCTCACACATTCTTTCAAAAATAAATACTCATTTGAATGAGGTTTACTCGTATGTTTTTTGTGCAATTCACAGGGAAGAGATGCTGTATGAGATTCTACTGCAACAGGTTCTACTTTAACAGATTCTGCTGCAAGAGGTTCTTCTTTAATGCCAATTCCAAGCGATGTGGCAGCAACGTTAAGCAACTTATTTGAATTGTTTGAATTCTGCTTATCCAATTGTTGCGCCGGACCTTTTTGCAAGTCGTTAGCCTGTTCAGGACCAGCCTGTCTTTGCAGCTGTTCCAGCTCTCTCTCAATTATACCACCAAAAGACAGAAGAGCTCTCTTTAAGGCATTTACAGCAGAACCCTGCGCAAACAAAAAGCCCCGGTCGTTCAGCCAAAACGTTAAATATACCGCTTATTTTCTTTCCAAGTGATTGACGCATACAATCCTGGCGTTGTGTATCGACAGGCCTTTCGTAGCTTCCCCTGCGGTGTAGTAGCCAATGTCCTGGTGAAAGATTCCACTCTCGATCTGGACCTTGACGAAACTGGCGCAACCGACGTAGCATTTGGCGCCAACCACCTCGACGAAATCTGCAACAGATCCGCGAGCTTACTTCCGCAGACCCGGGCTATCCGCACTTACGGGTCGCCCCTCGGCTCAACGACAGACGTTACCCAAGGTTTGGCTGATAACGGTATGCGTCCAGTTGCTCTCTCCAAAGGTTTTGTTTGCCGCCGAGATTAAATCACGAAATTCCGCCGACACATCCACCGGTTCCGCCTTCTCGAGCCTGTGCACGTCCCTCGCCATGGCTTGCTTTGCGGCGGGCTGAAAGGCGAAACACGCACACCTTTACAA